CATACCGATTGAAAAACGACGTATGTCATTTTTAAATTGAAAAATGACATGCGTCAATTAATAATCGACGTAAATTGAATAAAAAAAACAAAATTCCCCTCAAAATACTGTAAATACCATATTCTTGAATTTCTATTGGCTAAGAAAATTTTAACTTGAAATTACAGTTTTACGTTATATCGATATAAATTTAAAAATATGAGTCGACTAATGACTTTCGATTGAATCACTAATCCAAACTCAATTAAGCTTCATCGAAAAATCTAGAATTGAATTTTTCACCTTCGTAACGATAATACATTTTCTTTCCTTCATTATCATAACTATTAGCCCATACACTAATCTCTTTACTTACAGGGCTGTATGGACAATTAAAATAAACGTAATTTAACTTATAAAATTTAGCGTTCATCAATGGTTCAATTAGCTTCAAAGTAATATTCTCACATTCTTCAACAACTATTTTTTTAAGTAATTTACACTCAGCAATACCATTTAAATTAGGACCACCAGATTTAAAAAAAGTGGAATGAATATGTACTCTTTCTAATGAATGAGATTGAGTCTCAAGTGAATTAAGAAAAGAATAAGAAGTTCCTCTATATGAAATTAAAGTAAATGATTTGAGATTTTTTTGGGAAGAAATTAAATTCGAAATATTTTGAGGCGTTACTTCTCGTAATGAATGAAAATCAAAAGCTTCAAATGATATGACCATGGTTTCTTTTGCTAATTAGATTTTATTAATTTGTTATTACAAAGTTATTACAAGGATAGACTCCTAAGGTTTTATAGTTATATAATAAGTATACAACAAGCTATATATACAACTTTAGTTATTATTTAATTTAAGTAGTCTGCTATATAAATGATTGACTATCTGTTAGTTCTATACTATGCTGTTATATCTGCAACTTGCTTATGAGTTATTTATTTAAATATTCTGATCATTAATCTTTTCTTCCATTCTAAACTAATATCATCACTACATCTAACTACTTAAGCTAGCTAACTTGCTCTTAGATCTATTTACTACATAACTTAGATCTTCTCGAGATATGTATAGCTCAATATATTATGAGCATACAGAGTTCTAGTTAACCTCAAAAGTTTATCTACTTGAGTAATCTATATTTATTTTATAGATTTACTTAGTTTAGATCCTTATAATATTCATACAATTCTAGTTCTTATTGTAGCTCTTTACTAGTGTTATTTACAGATCTTACTAGGGTCTATTACAAATTAAATTTTCACAATTTAGTTAGCTACTAAGCCAAGTTGGTATTATTAGAATATATAGGATTCTTATTACAATATAGACTTATATACATCTAATCTAATTAAAGTCTTTAAGCATTGTATCCTTCTGAATTAACTATTAGTTGGTGTAACTATTGAAAGCTATACTACTTTACCAACTTGAGGTTTCTACTATACAGGTCCTCTGCTCATAGATCCTATTAAGATTTATTTGTATAATATTATATCTTTTCAAATATTGTGTTATACCTCTAATATTTAGATAATATTAGTACAATATAATTTATAAAATTACAACTTTAGAAACAAACAGGGTTTACTATAAGTTAGATACAAAGGTCTGAATAATTATTTAAATTCATTAATAGTAAGATTTGAACTCTAGACCTCTTGTATAGAGATCTAGCAATCTAATCACTATACTAAAATCATCAAACCTGTTAAAACTTTTGATTTTAACTAATGATTATTATTTTAGTTAATAATAATAATTAGTTATTAATAATCATTAATCAAAATTAAAAGTTTTAATATATTAAATAATATAATTCGAATGCTATTAAACATGCTTTTTGACTTATCCTTTAATATTATTATATAATTTAATAGATATATATGTCTATAAAATCAGTTTAAATAACAAGTTAAAAAATATATTTAATAGTATTCGAATTGTACTATTTGATATATCAAAACTTTTGATTTTAACTAATTATTATTCATTTTATTATTAACTAAAATAATAATCATTAGAGGTTTGGTGATCTTAGTGTAGTAGTTAAGTTGCCAGACCACTATGCAAGAGGTCTGGGATTCAAATCTCACTGTCGATGAATTTGAATAATTACCCAGACCTTTGTACCTAACTTACGGTAAACCCTGTCTGTTTCTGGGGTTATAACCCTGTAAATCATATTGCATTAATATTATCTGAATATTAGAAGTGTGACAAGGTATTTGGCAAGATATAACATTATACGAATAAATCTTGATAGGATCTATGAGCAGGGGACCTGCATAGTAGAAATCCTGAGTTGATAAAATAGTACAGCCTTCAAT